AACAGCGAACGGCTCTTAATTAGTCCTGTTTCCTTCACGATTGGATTCACTATATTCTTTTACGTGTGGTATAGTCAGTAGTCGATCTTATGTGTATATTAGTTTATTATTTAGTTTCAACGAAAAAATTAATTAATAGCTCTTAATCTATACTTTTTTCATTTTATCGATTTTTGTAATAAATAACAGATCTCCGTATTTACATTTATTAATTCAGAAATTATTCGATATATTCTAACGATGGCGTAAGAAGAAATGGAAATGCTGTGCATCCGCACTGAACACACATTGCTGCGTATTATTTTCTCTTTTCGACATGCGGGATGCTGCGAGATATTGTGGCAAAGTTACTTGATTCCCAGCTTCCGCCCCGAGTTACGTTGTGAAATTTTCTGTTCCCAGAGATTCTGTCGGGCGTCGTGCAACCATTTCACGCGGATTCCAATCAGTGCGTCTACAATCCCGATGGTGCACAGCAAAACAGGAATTACCCTTGCTACAAGTGCGGCAACGCGTTCACGCGCAAGAACAATTTGTATAATCACCTCAAGTTCCAGTGCGGCCAGTTGCCGCGATTCAACTGTCCGTATTGTTCGTACCGCACGAAACACTCGTCGAACGTGAGGTCGCATATACGCCGAATACATCCGAATGAGAGCGTCTACGTTCTCGACATGAGCAAGACCGTCAGCCGAGATGAATGATACAAATTTTGCAAGCTTCCTTCCTTTCGAGATCGTTCACAAAGCAAAGCTGCAAGATGTATCTCGAAGCAGTTGTGATATCGGTCAACCGAATGGCCATTTGTTGTTTTTTATCTGTTGTTTTTATCTGTTGCTTTTACGTGATCGTTTATGCCATATACATCGATGTATCAACATTGTTGTTTAGCGATTTTTGCTTGTTGGTAACGTTATATCTTGTTGGTACCGTCGATATAGACTGAACTTAAAGATTACATTTGACGTTCCCTCGACGCAAAATATTCGAGAAATTATTTGTTCGTCAAATGCATTATATAGGTACTTATTGCATATTTATTTTTGTAATATGCCTTTGATGATATACTGTTGAATTTGATAATGTACCGAATTTTCAATGTAATTGAATAAATTTCGAACATTCATTATCTGTGTCCTGTGGTTCTAGCGAGTCCTTTCTCGAAGACTGATTCCCCAAAGTTATCGGTATAATTCGTCTTTCTTTTTTTAATCCCTTATTTTTACAAAATAATCGTTTAATGTAGCGAATTTGACGTAATTGAATAAATTTCAAATGACCTTTATTCCCACATCGGTTTTTCTTTGCTCTAGGATGTCTCTTTCTCTGGAATGATAGTTTAAGATTACTCGTTATAATTCTGTTAATTTCTGTGCTGAGATGGCAATGCGCTAGTGCATATCTTGGTTAACCGTAAACGACACGCCGTCAATGATGGGTATTCTGTTACAGGCATTGATCCTTACCAAGTTTGGCTTCCTGCGATCTCCCTGGGAAACAATCGATTGTTCCGCTCCGTAGGTCCGAGTCCGCGGATCCGCGGTCAAGCGTCGCATTGGCGCAAAAGGTTTCGCTGCACTAACAACTGCGGGAGTTGCTTTACGCACCGTGGTTCCCTGACCAGGCATCTGCGTTACGAGTGCCAGCAAAATCCGCGTTTCAAGTGCCCGACCTGCGATTTTCGCTCGAGATGGACCTCCGATGTCTACAAGCACGTGCGCAGAAAGCACCAAGGCACCGCCGTGCGTTGTATCGACATCGGCAGAAATTGAAGGAATCTTTCTTTCTCTTCATTGAAATGTCATTAAAATGACCTTGTACTGCGCGCAGGGAATTACAATTTGTATGTATTCTCTGGGAAAAATAAAGACGGCTATAACTTTGGGACCCACTATTGTGCGTAACTAAAAATCGTAATTAGCTATTCTAGATATCTCAAAAGATTTTTAAGTTATACCAGCCAATTTTCTCAATTAGTTCTGTCGATATTCAGTTACGCAAAGATAATTTTTACTTAAGGGGCACTAACCAAAATGTTAATTAGAGTTCGAGAGTTACGATATTCAAATAATTTGATTACTATAATCGTCTTATAACCGTCTTTAACTTTTCCCAGAGTTTAGTAAGCGTCAATTAAATAAAAATTTTACAAAGCGAAATAGTCATCATGCTTATCACGTTAGTTTTCTCCAAAGAAAGTTCCGTTTATATTTTATACTATGTATATGTACTGACATGTATTACATTTAATACTCTTTAATATTTCTGCAATGATGGATTTTCAATTAATATTACTTCAAGACATTGTCTGAATTTAAATCAGTCCATTGTCTCAAGCTGATCGATTCTTCCTTTTCTTATTCTGAATTTCTTTACACGATTATGTTTTCTTTATAACATTTAAGCGATATTGAACAAATTAAGATTAACTCTAATAATAATTTAGCGTTGTGAGAATTGTGTCACTAAATTTTCAAATGGTTTAATCTCGTAATGCCGTCTTGATGTGATTCAAGCGAATTTATATGCAAATAATTGGATGGCAATTTATTATTGTATCTGCTTTATTTTAATTATTTGCGGCATTTTAATTGTTTGCTATATTTTTTACTCTTATATTTGTCAGCAATTCAATTTATTTCTCGATTAACTGGCGCAATATGTACAAAAATGCGTTTTTTTCTCGCTGTTCCTGTTTCAGTTCGCACTTGAAAAAGGCTCGAATCTTGAGCCGAAACGTCGTGCATTTTTGTACATATTGCGCCAGTTAATCGAGAAATAAATTGAATTGCTGATTTTATTCACTGGCGGACGAAATTATTACCGATATCTTATATTTGTATCTACGAAGATATTTATGTTTTTTAATGCAATTTATGGCGAATGCCATTTTTACAAAGATAAAGTGATTGTATAAAAAAATTGATTAGAATGTATTATGCATTTTCTTAAAAGCTATATACATATTATATGAATACGTATAGATATATATATTATGTATATGTATGAAATATATGTGTATATTAATAAGAAGTTATGCATAGTAATAATTTTGATCATGAAAAATTTTTTCAAAATATTATATCATTGAAATTATTAGCTCCTCTTGATTGAGTTACGTCAAGACGATGCTACGAGATTTCGGCATTCAATTTATACGAAATATTACATGTAATTTTTTTGATATTTGTTACGAAATTAGATAAATAAATCTCTGAGTTAAGTATCTTTTAAAAAACGATTATTTGTTACTTCTTGTTGCTCTATAATCAAACGCGACGAAAAGGTCGGCGCAAATATCGAGTCGAAATTCTCACGCATTACTGACCGTGCGTTTTTCGCTTGCGTCTTTTTCAGGTAACGAGGTGTATCTAGTGGCGAAGTTGCAGCCCCTCGACTTCAAGGAAAAGCACCCGTGCCCGAAGTGTAGCCGTATCTTCGAGAAGAAAGGCAGCCTGAGCAGGCATCTGTTGTACGAATGCGGAAAGAGACCGCGTTTCAAATGCCCGTACTGCGGATATTGTTGCAGCTTGCGCAGCAATGTTTACAGACACGTGCGCAACAGTCACAAGAGGAGTGAAGTGTATGCGATGGACATCATCATGAACTGTCTCATGAAACCGCACTGATCGTTTTTTTTCGCATTTTTAACGCGAACCACTAACAGATTTCCCTGCAAGCTCTAAATTAAAAAAGAGGGTGAAAATATTTTACGCTCATTTTATGTACCTGATACCAGTATAATGTGACGTTACGCTAAATACGCGCGAAAAGGATAAAAGGATATAACAGTTGAGTGACTTCGTGATGAACTTATTTTTCATTTTATACTTGGCAATGGAAAATACTACTGAATATGACATTATAGGACATTAAATTAAAATTTCTGTTCTGTATACGTAATAAATTTCATCATAGCAACAGTTTTCATCTTTTTTTTATATTTCAAATTTAACAAATTACTCTCACGAGTCTTATTGTTTAATATTAAACATATATTTATGATGTTCTAAAAATGGTATAAAAGAGAACGAAGTCATAAGAGAAATCGGCTTATCTATCTGTCCATCTACTCGTACATGTCTGTGTGTAACATTTATGTTTCATTGTATCTTGTTTTAACATGTCTTTAATTTTTGTGTTCAGCCTAATTCCATTTCTGTTCATTTTGGAGAATCGTGTAGATTGTCGAAAATAATGAATGTGTTGTTCCGCATCGATGACATCATAATTAACGTTTTTGATCCCGATCTTTTTTATGTTTTAGACGTGACCTGATTAGTTGTTTTATTCGTTTTTCCCCTATTTTTTATGTTTAGCACACGCGAGTATCTCTCCGCAGACGTCTAAGATCATCGATCGGTACCATTGTTGTTCGAACTGCTGTCGTTTCAAGTGGAAGAACAGCCTCATTCGACATTGTCTGTACATGTCCGTACTGCAGTTACCGGTCCAAACAGCGCAGTGATGTTTACAGACACATCTTCGTTTTTTTCACGAGAAGCATGAGATGCTGGACGTCGACATGTTTAAACATTGCGTCGAGAAAGTTAAAAGCGATTTCTTCATTGTCAAAGTCTGGAAATATCTTTTGATATTGACACCGCCGACGTGCCTATAAATACGCGAACATTATCTAAAAGTTCGGTGCCAGGAAGGGATGAATGAGGAAATTTCCCTTGATGCTTGATAGGAATACTATTTGTTTAAGTCGCAGAAGACTCCTCATGAAGATTAACGCTAATAATGTGCAGTAATTTTTTTTTTTAAATAGTGTATATGTTAAAATTTATTTTTTGGTGAAGTGGATAATTTAAGAAATTTACTTCATTTTGATTGCATTGGATTATTTGATTTTATATTTTGCAACTGAATTATTTTTTACTTTACATTTTATTATTATTTTCTTTATAAGGCGGAAAGGCCTAATTGCATTATTTTATAAAGTTGCCTTTAACGCCAAAGAACGTTCTCTTTGTTTGTATCATGTATAGTATAACAAAAATGTTATTTAGTTGATATGACAAATAATGCTTTTTGCATAATGATTGCATAAAGTAACGTGATTCTTCGTACAAATAATTTCTATTGCGTGAAATAATAAAAAAAAACACATTAAATACATATATTATACTGTATTAATTGATTGTTAAGAAACACTATTTCTTACGCATAAAATATATTATTAACATTTTATAACTTCTTTAATATTTCTACTGCATTATGGAATCATCAAATTATAATACTTTTTTATATAAAAAAATTGATTATATTACCATGTCCTTCTACCTTTTATTGCAATCATTATTTTTTAAAACAAACTATTTTGTTATTATAACATTCATCTTCATCACAATCATTTGTCTCTAATATTACAAACATTTTTTAAACGTAAGTAAACAATTTGGTTTCTTTTATTGAGAATTATTATTATTATCATTACTGAAACACCAAACTTTATTATTTTCTTGCATGTTAAGAGTTTTTGTTTTATTTTCACCGTCCACAGCGATTTTAAAACAATATCGTCAAGAAGAACTTTCTTAATAATTTGCTAGCTGTAATAACATATCTCGGACATTCATTCTTTGTTTGTAAAATGTCATTTATCTATTTTTGTACATACGCACAAGCTTTACCTTCTTGTGAATCCGGATGCTCGGACCAATGTTAAAGCTAACGCGTGTTTGCACGCGAACGCTTCGAAGTGTTAATAATCAGGTGGAATTATCTCTGTGTTCACAGGTTTTTCTCATATGGGTTTCTACCGAAGAAGGAGGAGGAAATGCACCAGCAATCATCATGCGAAGTACCAGTGTCCCAACTGTCCCTGCATCTTCGTGTGGAAGTGTACCCTGAGAAGGCACCTGCGCAACGAATGTGGCAAGGACCCGCGTTTTAAATGTCCCTACTGCGATTATTGTGGCAAGTGGAAGGCCAATATTACCAGACACATCACAAGAGTGCACAAGAATTGCTCTAATTACGTATTGATTACCAATTAGGATTAACTTTCTTCTTTCGATGCACGTTACCATCTTTAAAATGTGCTTCGGAATATTTTGGCACAGCTATTAAACAATTTATTCCGTGATAATTACGTTAGAGTGAGGGAAGTACCCAGAGTAGCCATGCGTGTCTGAACAAAATCATGTAAACCTGTGATTGCTTATGATGATACTATGAGGCAACTTGTCATATATTTGCTTCAATTGGTTTCGAGTAATTTGAAGCAACTCGCAGGCAACATTGGATATATGTATTGCCAGCAATTTATCGGCAAGAGAGCAGCATCAAATTTACTTCGCGTTGCTATCTGGGTACCTATAAATTTTTAAAACTTTAATTTAAAATTATTTCATTATTGAGTTATGATTGTATTAGAAAGAAAGTTTTACTTTTATTTGCTTTGCTGCAATTTTACTGTTCTATGAAAGTTTTTCTTTCAAAAATCAACGAAGAATTATGACGGAAAGGAATAAAATAAAATTCTAAATTAATATTTTCTTAACTAAATTTTTGTGTATAATTAAAATATTTTGAAAAATGTAAAGAAGAAATACATTATTATAAACACATTAATCATTGACATTTTGAAATTTTTTACAATTGCGTTTATTACGATTAAAGGATTAGAGAACAAAGCTATATTTTAAAAAAATTTATATATATGTATATTATATATACACACGCCCACACACATACACATCTTGCGACTTCACGATGCATGTAATTTAAGATGTAAGAATACCAATAAATTGCGAGTATTCGAAAATGCAATGCTGGAATTATCTCTACGTCAAAACAAAATAAATAAAAATTATTATCTTTATCCTCCATGAATTTCCTCGTTCTTTTCTACAATTTTCTATTTTTTATTCATTCTTTTTTTTCACGATAATGTAATCAGTAACATGATTTTTTTAAATATTGCTTTTATATTGTTATAGATGCGTGACAGTTGACAAGTTGATAATATATAATTTTCTTTTTCAGATAATTCATTCTTGCAGAGTGCAGGTAAATACGTGTTACTTTTATTTATAACACAATATGATGCCGTTGAGATTTAACAAGAAATATGTCTCACTAACTGTTTAATTATTAATGTGGTGTTCTGATATATTGCATTTTGGACCTCAAAATATTTCCCATGTAAAATTTCATCGATAATTGTCATGTATTAAGTGTAATACTCATAAATATAGAATATTTTACTTTTACGTTGCTACATCTTTATTTTTCAGCATTTTTATTTCATGTGTTCGTTACACATTTTATTTTTTCGGAAGGAAACCCTCGCGATGAAACGATCGACTTTTTCGGCATGTTATCCCGAAGGACGCACACGACTTTGCGTCAGGACTGACTGGACGCTTTGTCTGCTCTTTTGCTTTCAGGCGTTAATGGGTCTTTTAAAGCCTTCAGCAGATCGTTGTCCAGCGACGCCGACAACAATATCAGGTTCCCTTGCCCGAATCACAACTGCGGTCGCGCCTTCAACTGGAAGAGGAACCTGACGCGGCACCTGAAGTACGAATGTGGTCTTCAACCGCGCTTCAAATGTCCCTATTGTGATTATTACGGCAAACTCAAGGGCAATGTCAGCAAGCATCTCCTCCGCAGGCACAATACCCGGAAGATTTACGTCGTCGATCTGTCCCAAGGGACATCGTGAGCGCTCCACTTAACCGCGCGTCTTTCGTTTGCCGACAAATAAAGAAACCTGCCTGTTTTTATGGGTTCGTGAATCTATGCGACTTCGGCTTTGATCTGTATTTCTTTGTCTAATCGTCTATCTCTGTCTCTTCGAATTGCAAGGTAATCCTATCAATCGCATTACTGCAATGCCGACAGTTTGTTCAAGTCTGTTAGAAGCTATATATATACGCTTTCGAGTAAAAATTGTATTTAGAAATACGCAAAAATATTAACATGATTACATGAATAAATACATAAGAACAAATGCACATTTGCGTTTTAATCGCTTCACAGCTTGGTGAGAAAATTGCATGTGTAATACTTATAACAGTATGTATGGAACGTCTGGTCAAAATAAAATGGAGTATCTCAGACGAACAAGAACTTTTAAAGACCAAGAAATTGCGATTGCAGTTTCGAAAAGGAAAAAAGAAAATTCTCCCAGAATAGGATCTTGTTTGAATTAATTATTTGCGATTTTACGCATGAATATTGGCGTTTTTTCTCATTCCGAGGTTTCAAAAATGATTATCGGCACGAGTTCTGCCTTTTCGCACGCGTCTAAGCGAGCATCTCTGGAGCATTTTTTCACGCACGAGTCATTACTGTTTCAGATAACAGAGTACGCATGGCTTATCTTCGCAAAAAGAGAACACGAAGAAACGTCCATTTTTCGTGTCCTAATTCGAATTGCCGGAAAGTCTTCGGGTGGAAAGAAAGTCTGCAGAAACATCTTCGCTACCAATGCGGCCAGAAGCCCAGGTTCAAGTGTCCCTACTGCGACTATATATGCAAGTTGAGGCCCGACATACGGAAGCACATTCGAGCCAAGCATCAGAATAGCTATGTCTATGTCATCGA